CCCCAAAACCCCAAAACCCCAAAACCCCAAAACCCCAAAACCCCACTAGATCTGTTAAATAATGAAATATAAATAAATATGAGCAAGCCAGCCGAGAAAGATATTAAGATTAACTACGACGACGAGACTATGGAGTTCATCGACATCAGCTCCGACCCTGAAGCTGCTGAGTTTAGAAAGAAAGTCGTCATTCCCTACTTCAAGGACATCTTCAAAAGTTTGTCCGAATCTTGCAAGGACCAGGAAAAGAATGTGGACAAGGTCACCTTCTTGCAGTATACCAACCTGCCAGGGGTCCTCGGAGATAGGATCTACGCCATCCTTGATGAAGACGAGGACGGACTGCTCGATGTCAAAGAATTCATCGGAGGACTCTTCAAGATATACTTTTCGTCTTTCGAGGTTAAGTAAGTCATTATCTCGCTTGTTCTCATTACTTTTGACCGAGGTTTAGATATTTCGAAGTGAGCCGACACCATTCCTCGACAAAGAGATTGATTCGGCTCAACTTGCTTCAGACTGTTAACTTCGTCTAGGTGCCAGTTTGTGTTTGATATCTACGACTTCGATGGAGATGGAGAGATCTCAAGAGAAGATGCCAGGATCATCCTCTCGTACATCCCTCAGGTCTCCCAGACCATCAAGGAGCTCGAGAGGTCGTTCGAGCCAGAAGACAAGATCAGGAAGAAAATGTTCGAGAACCGTATTAGTGCGCAAGAGCAGATCGAGGAACTCTGTGATGCTGTTTTCAAAGAAGGCGGCGAGAACATCACCAGAGACCTCAAGAGCTTCATGGCCATTGTTGAGAAAGATTGCTCAGACCTTCTGGTTTCCATTTTGACTGTGATCCGAGACTGTTTGCCTTGCACAGATACTTTTTGGGAAAATATGCATGAGTATTACAAGCAGAAAGATGGAACTGACTTTTCTAAAACAGGGGTTCCATCTCCCAAGTTTTTGAAACAGTTTTCTCCCAGAGGTGACAAATCGTCGTCCAAGAGCATGCTCGGCGCTGCTGCCACAAATAATAAACTCGGTAGAGCAAGCCCAGATGCATTCTCAGAGTTCGACATTGAAGACAACATTGATGAAATTGCACAAGGGTTTGCGAAAGAAGATGAGAAGAGGAAGAAGCGAGAAGAGCGCATGAACGAGCCTGGTAGTCCCCAGGTTCACGGTGACGCAATCAGACTTGCGAACAAGACTGTCTTCGGTAAAGGCGGTTCTTCAATGCTGAGAGCCGCTGCTACTAAAACAGGCGAAGAAAGAAAAGAGCGTTTCTCTTCACCAAGCAGAATTCTCAGTGGCGACCATGAAGATGAGAAAGACGCTGATGAAGATGTAGTCACTCACAGTGGAATCATGCACAGAGAGTCTGGTGAGCGCAAACTCAAAGGCTACTACTACAGACTCAAAAACAAAGATCTCTACTACTACAAGAAGGAGTCAGATGAAAAGTACAAAGGAATGTATGCCCTCACAAATGTCTTTTTGAGAGAAGAAGACCCAGAACCATACGACGACGAGAACTACGTGTATTCATTCACTCTGATCTTCGTGTCCAAAGAACGCAAGTTCTACTGACTCAAGAAAGACAAGTATGCTGAGTGGATCGCCAAGCTGAAGCAAGCCATCGGATACTACAGCATCACGACCTACTACGACATCAAGGACACCATCGGCAAAGGCAAGTTCGGAAGGGTCAAGCTGGCCATCCACAAGAAGACCGACAAGAAGGTAGCTGTCAAGATTCTCAAGAAGAAGAAGATGGATGCAGAAGACTTTGAACTTTACAAGCGAGAAGTCGAAATCTTGAAGATTTGCCAGCATCCCAATATCATCAGGTAGGCTCAATGGTGACAATATAGATTGCTCGATGTCTTCGAAAACTCAGACTACATTTACATTGTGATGGAGTACTTGAGCGGAGGACCACTTCTGCAATACTTCAAAGGCAGAAAGTACAAGCTCAAAGAGTCTAGAGTCAGAGACATCGCCCACCAGATCGCCGCAAGTCTGTTTTACCTCAAGAGCTTCGGAATTGCTCACAGAGACATGAAGCCTGACAACATCATCATGGCCACTGACGATGACGACAGCGAGATCAAGTTGATTGACTTCGGGCTGTCCAAGATCATCGGGCCCAAGGAGAGGTCGAAGGACCCCTTCGGCACGATCCCATACGCAGCGCCCGAGATCATCCTGAGGAAGCCGTACTCGCATAGCGTAGACATCTGGAGTCTGGGAGTGACAGTCTTCTTCCTGCTGACTGGGTTCCATCCATTCGACTCACACGACCAGCAGGAGTTGCTCAAGAAGATCGTGAGGCAGGACCCTGACTGGGACGCTGACGAGTGGGCTGGCGTCAGCGACTCTGCTAAGGAACTTGTCAAAAAGCTGCTGACCAAGGACAAGGAACAGAGAATCGAAATCGAAGAAGTCCTCGAGCACGAGTGGATCACCGAAGGAAACGAGAAGCTGAGGCTGATGAGAAGGAACTCGGGTTCTTACCTAGAGAGGCTTCAGAACTTCTCGATCACAAAGGCAGACGATGAGGAGCAGAAGGATAATTAAGCAAGCGTTCATCTTTATCCATTTTATTTACTTTGCAGAAGATGGAATCAACTAGGGATTAATAAAAAGGGGTTTTGGGGTTTTGGGGTTTTGGGGATTGGGGTTTTGGGGTTTTGGGGTTTTGGGG